AATTGAATTTGTAATCACTAAAGTCAGGTAGCTTTGCGTAGCTGACCGGTTGCTCGACTTAAGTGAACTAAAGAATGTTCTTAATAAATACTTGAGGTTGAAACTTTTTATTATAGGTTTGTGTACATAGCAACTCTTGTAGTATCTATACGAAATTTGATTCTCTAACTTTGCTATTTGGCTTTCGCCTTTTAATGAGTTAAGCGGCGTATAAAATTCAATCGTATCTTAACTATGTGCAAAATTCTTAAGATTTAAATTTAAGATGGTAGTAGGCATAATTTGCTTTGGTTTTATGTAATTATTATAGAAACACAATTGCCCTTTGAATGCTAAACTAGCTAAGATTAATTGTAACCTTGAAACTCATTTCCACATAATAACGGGGGTCTTAACTTATTTTCTAACGAAGGAATCTAATGTTTAGTGTTTCACATGAATTTTAAGGAGTCTTATGATCAACTAATAGTAACTTAAATGTATATACATACATAACTAATTAAAAATTTCATATTGTATGTTTGTAAGATCATCTCTTGAAAACGACTGAATGCTTTCGGCTAATGTTTTAAACAGTTCGTTGGATATAATCCTAATGAATTTCGTACGGAAAAACAATTTGGAAAAATTGACTGGAAATTTAAAAATTTTAGAAAAACTGGAAGCGCCTATTTCCATGAGACTTTTTATACAACTCACGATTTTGTACTTATGATACACTTTGGCTCAGGTTGTAAACAGTTTAGAACAAATATATGTATGTATGTATATCCAAAAAGTAAGATCGCCAGATGGCGCTCGAGTCGTGCTCTTTTGAAAATTCGTGTTTATCGATTTGACATGCATAGATAAATAAATAAATTTATATAGAGGTATACACTGCGACCAAGAGATCTATTACCTTACCTAGTACCTCATCCAACCCTAAAGATCCCAGATATTGGAAGAGATATTCAGTGGATGGTGATTGTATAAATTCAACGCATGGCTAAAGTTGGCCTAGGTACTTCCCTCGTCTCCTTGATAGACTCGTAGAAATGACATAGGTCGTTCGACCTGATCTCTAGCTTTTAAGGGTTTCCTTTTAGTCCACAGTGCCCCGTCAGAAAACCTCTTATTATTGCCATATAGCTTGTAAGGTTGTAGCCTCCCAGTAAGCATATAACCTCGCGTATATCTACGGTGTTACTCCCGTGTTGTTCTTCGAGTCTGATCCTCTCCTTCCTGAACACTTCCTTGTTTATCCTAGGTCCGATAGTAAGCTTTGCTTCGGCCCTATAGGAGTCAAGGCGGTCGCCGTTTTGGTGAGATGGTATGCTTCTTCGTCACCCCCAACTCCTATGTGACCTGGTCCCTAAATTAGTTGGATATCATTGTGCTCCACCAGAACGTTCAGCCTATCAATGCACTCAAGAAGAAAGGAGAACTTGGCCTCGAATAATGAGAGGGCCTTGAGTGTAGCTTCAATCTTATGTACATAAGATAAAAACGATCACAAATTTATTTCATGCTCCGGTAGCAGTTTTGACTATTGGCGCCAGGCTGTAAAATCGACTCTGAAGGTTCCCTTGAAGTTCTGTTTCTGTATTGGCTTTAATATACGGGTCCACACAATGTGGTTATGAGCTCCAAAAATTAACATAATTGAAGAAGAGCTTAAGAACAGGAACGTAACGGTTAATATATTCAAAATAAAAATCATAACAGTAAACATTACATTACTGTTTTTTTGATCAATTTAATTTATGATTTTTATTTAATCGTTTTTTATTTGGATTTCTATTTTTTCGATACCACTTTGATCGCTGTGTTTTGATTTTTTCGATCATATTATACCCGTTATTTTCATATATAGGTTTTTAATCAATCTGTTAGTATAAAAAAATTCCGTTCTTAGATGATCTTTTTCAATACGAGTGTGTACTTATTTATTGTTGTCGGTCTGACTCAACTGAAAATGTTAAAGTAAAATCTTGAAATAAACAAAAATAACGATTGCAGAAAAAAAACACTTAACGTACCTCCTTCATGTATTTTTAAATCTGTACCACAGAGATAAAAATAGGGTTCAAACCTCTTTCTACCTTCAAGGCAGCGAGGGAAAATGGGGTAGCCATTTATACTGATCCCAGTCGTCTATTTGTGCCGCGAAAATTGATCATTCAGAGTGAGGGCAGTGGGCTGAAGGTGAACTCGCCCATGTCTGCCTGTCATTCCTAAGCGAATTAGTTTCTAACAGTGGCTTCCGAAGTTAAGAGTGCTATAACTGGTTGCAGAGTAAGTGGTACTAGACCTGACACCTCTGTAGGTAAACGGTCAGATATTTCATGAACAGGTGCTCCCGAGGGACGTGGCACCTAGAGCACAAAAATTGAGCTATGATGTTTACTATATAAACATCAAATACTGACTCAGTGTCAGTTTTGGGACCATCAGTAGAGACAATGTATAAGTCCGGTTTCAGTGGCCGTATTTGGCCAATATTCAATCTCAGCGAACTCAACATGATTTCTCAGCCTGCAGGTGACCTTTAAGACCTTTATATGTATGAAAGCGAAAAGTGTTGGTAAGAGTAGCTGCAGTTCCAGGAGTTGTTGAGAAGTAAAAAAAAACTCGCTTATAATAAACGAATCTTTACTAAGGAAGATCGGAATTGATATACTGAATAGCAACAATTTTAAGTGAATAAAGTTAATTTCAGTTAACAAAGACAAATATTTCATTTAAAATAGATTGCACAACCAGATTGCAATTCCAAACCTACAACGATGCAAATAATTAAAATAAATAAAAGACCTACACAAAATAAATAAATAAAATAAAGCTGAGCAATTAAGTGACAAAGCGTGGGCCAAACTGTGTGACTACGGTGGCTAAGTGAGTGGCGCGTTTCGTCGGCGTTTCGGCAAAATGTCGCACTTTAGTGCGATATTCGAAAATTTGCGATTGGTGGCTGCCAAGCGTATGCCAAGTACGCCAACGCACCAGCAAAAACAGCAGCAACAACAAATACTACAACAACAACAGCAACAGCAACACACAGCTTGCAATAGCAATGCAATAGCAAACAACGAAATCCAAACGAATCATCACTCGTCGCCGCCAACACCGGAAAAACGCAACGAATTGGAAAATGGCAAACGGTCACAAATACACATTAAAGAGCCGCAAGAACAAATGCAACAGCATGCAGCTGTAACACCCATGGTGCCAGGTGGCAGCAACAGCGTCAACAACACACCCAATCGACAGCATTACGCAAAGAGGCAGAGTATTTCGGGGCGCGGCACAGATATCGCTAAAAATTCGCCAATTCTTGTTGGGCGCAACTCAGTGGTGGGCGGCGGTGGAGGTGGTGCGGGCGTAATTGCGGAAGGTGGCGGCGGCGGCGGCGGCGGCGGCAGCAGCAGCAGCGGTAAGGCACGTGAGCTCTCGCCCACACCGAAGAATCAGGGACAGCGTAAAATGTCGCAGGATTTTCGAGCGCGTGCCGGCAGTTTTATACACGTGGACGAGGAGGGGCGCAGCATACTTATACGCAAGCCGGTAAGACTGAAGAATATCGAGGGCAGGCCAGAGGTTTATGATACGTTGCATTGCAAGGCTAAGGAGGTAAGTGAATAATATATAGATACATATATGTATGCTTGTGTGCAATGGAATGTATGTGATCGAGCGTGAAGTAGAGTAATGGGGTAATTGATTACGCTGTGCTGTTCTTAAAAAGTTAATCTTTGACTTTAGCTAATTCAAAGCTTAGTTACAAGCTAAGATTTTGTATGGGAAATGTAGTGTGACATCTTCATATTTGTAACTGAGTACAGGTCATAGATCCGGTTGTGAAATTAATTTACAAAACTTTGTTTATGTAAATTTTTTGGAATCCTGAAATTCTCAAATTATGCATAAAAAAAGTATTTATCCGTGGCCCCAAAGACTAAATACTTACAGATTTAGTTATTTATTAAGTCATTTTAGGTTAAATTGTGGGAGACCCTTGGAAAAAAAAATCAAACTGAAAATATGAAAAAATCTGCGTATTTTTTTAATTTTTCCCTTGTCAATTGTTGCAGGTTGTGCAAAATTGTATGAGTATTTTTTTCTATTAAATAGTTATGAATTGAAAGTACAGTTTATTCCACGTAAAAATGGGTACTTTTTTATGAATCAATTAAAACCTGGTTCTATTCTGGAAACACTCTTTGGAAGTAATGGCTGAAATGAATATGCCTTCCTAAAAAATGTTTGAAAAAAATTGTTTTTGCTTTTCCATAACATTTTTTCGTTTGGATACGTCCTCAAGCTCACTAAAATTGTTAAAAAAAAAGCTCCGTTAAAGTGAAAAAAGTCAACAAACTCTATCTAAAAAATGTTGGAACTTTATAATTTACTTGAAAATGTCTTTATGTTTTCTATGTTCCCTGTATATATATGAGACTGGTTCAATCAAATCGACAATCTGTTTTATTCCCTATGAAGTATTTTCGGGACCGTGTAAAAAGACGCTTGTCAAAAGCGCAGCCCCTGATATTAATATTTCAATATACATATCGATGGTCCTACCTAATAACGACACAATTCAAAATTCTCAGTAATTTTCCAATGTTTTCTCAAACAAAGTTTTGTTTAAAGTGCGATTAGTATCATTCTGTCCCTTGTCCAGCCATAAATTGTGAAAAAACTATCGTATCTTACCCAACTTCAAAATCTTGTATTCTAGCACTATCTACAAAAAAATCGGTTTTTGGAATTTGGTCGACTTCTTCAATATAACTTTGTGGATATACTGGAAGAACTCCATATAGGAGTATTATCCTCAGGATTATGTAGAAGAATATCATATTAACTGAATGAATGCTTTTCAGATTTTTCTCTGTTATTCTCGCTATATTCCTCTGCAAGCTAAAATTTAGTTACAAACACTTAAATTTCGCAATTGAAAGAAGGCTAATACAGGAAATTAATTCTATTGCTGCTACTCTCTAAAAACAATAAAAATTGTAATTACAACAGAATCAGAGTATTTTTAAATAGGCGTGGCGTATACCCATACAAACCGATTAACTTAGCTGAGAAACGTTTCTAATAAAATAAACATAAAAAAGGCAAACATTATTTGCTGCTCTCGAAGTTGAATGCCATTCCGGTGGGCGATACAATTAGCAATCAAAAAAATAGTGGAAGTGTTGTCGCAGTTTAGAGGTCAACAAAAATACGAATAAATCCTAATATCAGGACACAATTTAACTAAGGCGCCACAAAAACATAAAATGCGTGCTACGAAAACCGGTCACATCAACTGCTAACAAACACTGTAATTTTCGCTTTAGCAACCATGGCAACAAAAACAATAACTTTAATTGCATTCAATGCTTGTAGTTGCATCCACAAATTCCGCCTAACTATTTGAACAACAATGGCTAATTAAAGTGTTAACTGACTGTCATCACTGGTTCATGTCTGTTGGCTTGTTTGCTTGGTTGGATGGACAAAGTTTTATGCGGGCCAGTGTGCCAATTATGTTTATTTGATAATGAACTAATTAGCATTGCAAGTTTACTGAAATAGTTTTCAGCAATTACCACTACGGAGCTATGTATGTAAGTGGGTTGAGAATTTTAAGATTTATTCAAATGTTGAAAATTAGTCATTTCGGCCTAAAGTTTTCATGTAAACTGAAACGAAATTGCGGTTTTTCTCGTTGTTTCGTCATTTAGGCCAAACCGACTAAAGATTTGGATTAAGGGCGTTAAAATACAAAAAAAAAATAAAAGTGGGTCTCATCAAAAGTACAGAAAACTTTTTTTGTGCCGGTTTTTTGTTCTCAATTCATTTTATGTATTTATAGCCAGTTTTAGGCAAGCCATTTAAATGAAAAGTGTTTTTTTTTTTAATTTAAATTCAAAACTGACAGAAGAGAAAAAATCATTTTTTAATTAAATTGCTGGTTAAAGCGGCAGTTACTTTCGAAAAATCTTTATCTTCTACAAAAGTTGAGTTTTTTTTACCAGCCAAAGTTTTTTATTTCCCTTTCGCATATTCTCATTCAGAAATTTTCATATTTTCACATTCACATTTATGCGATACGCATTGCATTCTGTCCACTTCGCTGCATCTATGTACTTTTACTTACTCACTCATCCAATTCAATTTATGTTACATATACGCCATGCATGGTGGACTGCTTACATACATATGAACACAGAGTATTCATTTCGAGCGCCGACGGTCAATCGATTAAATCACTCACTGTAAATTATAGGATTTTACGCACTCAAACACAGACAGAGAAACAAGAAAATCGAGTAATGGTTATGAATTTTTATGAAAAGCTGTTGCTGGCGTAGCAGACATTCGGAGTTAACTTCGTGTGAGACATATTTTTACAGACATACATACATACATACATACATACATACTTATGTGCAGAGATACACACATGCACGCAAATTTTCAGATTCAGTAAAGGCAGAAATGCTGTGAATAAAAGCACAACTTTACAACTTAATACCGTTATAAGAATTTCGACAGCACCATGTGGCCCATAGCTGCGCAGCGTTACGCCACATTCAAAGAAGCCATTCACACGATTATTACCTGCGAAACGAACAATGAAGAACAGCAAAAAAGAAGAAAGAGAGAAAATAAAACTTTCATACAGTCACCGGGGCAAAAGTAGGCGGTTGGTTTAAATAAACAACGCGAAAGTGCAGCCAAGGAAGAGAAGAAGTCTTACGTCTAGTTGCCGGCAAGGAATCGGCGGAAAAAGGAAAAGACGGCGGAACTTTTTATTATATTGCAATATTTTTTTTTTGTGCTGCCCTTTTTGCTAAAAAAATATCTACGTGCAGTTCACAGCTGCTGCAGCAAGGGCGTTCAGTCAACTTTTTAGCCCGTAGCCCTCAACCTTCAGTCGTGGCTGCTGCAACGCTGTCATCATTAATGTCAACTTGTGGCAAATACTATGGCCTGCCAGCGCGCACATGGCGGCACTTAAACTTATTTATTAGCGCTTGCACATTTGTGCGACAGCCAACGAAGGATTTGCAAAGCAATCTGTGCGCAACTTAATTAGCAGTGCAAGACATTAAAATGTGCAACAGCCGCAAAAAACGCCCACGCCGAATGAATGCACCAACACGGCGGTTGAAGGTAATAGACAGGAAGCGATTGTTAATAGACTTGGGTGTACGTTTGTCATGTCTCGCTCTCTCTCTCTCTCTCTCTCTCCCTCTCTCGCTCTCTTACTCAATTAAGCAATTTGTGGCAACATCAGTGAATCGCTTTTAAAGTCAACTTCCGTTTGCTTCCGTCGCAGTCGCGCGGCTTAATTAAGGCAGCAACGGAAATGACGTTGGTAGTTAAAGAAGACAAGGCGGGTTTCGTGAATCCTGTGTGTATGCGTGGGCGTGTGTTAGATAAATTTATTGTTTTATTTTTTACTGTTTTTATGTGGATAGCTTAAATTAAATTGCAAGGAGAGAATTATCTTATTAGATTACACCCTAATCCCTGGGTTCAGTAGCAGTGCTGAGGATATCGCAGTTTAAAAAAAAAAAATTGAACAAGCTACGATTTCCTATTTAAACAGCTACTTCCAGATTCCGTTGCCTGCCAATTGTTGGACACTCATGGAAGATGAACTGCAAAGTCTTCTTCCTTTAAATCTCCTGCAAATTTTATTTGTGTTCAGAGCTAAATTAAAGACGAAACAGCGGCGCTTAACAATTTTCCCATTAATACCCTAACTAGTCACCTAGGATAGCTTACTAGCAGCGCTAAAGAACATCGATGTCCTCTCGGTACCTAATCTGCGTAAGCAGTAAGTTCAACGAGTTTTCGTTTAATTGCTATTTAGTATATTTTTGGCCACATGCATATCTCAATCTCAACGGGAATTCCCCATCCAATTCCCTTTACAACATTTTGTAAAGTTGTGTCTTTCGATCGCCCTCACCTGTAAGCATTTTGCGCTTTTGAAAGTGCGTCTATTTCCACAGGCTCTTCTGAAGAAATGATGACAGAGCCGAATGAGCGCATGAAAAGTTCCGCCTGCCTTCGTCAAGAAAAGAACATTAAACGTCCTTCTGACATAAGAATATATTATATCTAGATTTGGTTGTTTATACTGAGTAAAGGAGTCGTGGATGGCGCCAAGTGATTTATCGTAAGCATTTCTTATGAACCCTCCTTTCTTTGAACTCATTCAATATCGTCCTTTTGAATGAGACTCTGAGTTAAAGAACCCCTGTACAGGATTTTCCTTAGCCAAGTTGTATTGCTGAAGCTTCCGATTCCAATAGTTTCTCATTTTTATCATCTTTATCCTCGTTTCCCCCACTCGTTTTCTAAAAATGGCAGATCAGGGGTTACAACAAGACTCCTTCTTTTGGTCCCGCTTAGGGTACAAGCCTGTTGTAAACGGGAAATATTTTAAAAGGCGATCGCTCATACTTTCCAGATGATTTATGCAGAAGCATCCTTCAAAAATTTATTAATAGAGATAGTGAGGCCTATAAAACTTAGCAAGTATCGGCCAGCAGTACATTGAGGCTAAGAAATGGAGAAAAGCTTCTGGAAGAATTATATACTTTAAACTTACTTGCTTGCCTAAATTAGATCTTTCTCACGAAGTTATTTTTAGGTCATTAGAGAGTTAAGTGTCTCATAGGTTATACTAAATTCAGGTGAGATTTAGAATTTTTTATTTCAATTAAGCTTTTATTTGAGCTTAATATTCCGAATTGTTTTCATCACTCTACACAAATTCCACTCAAGGTGTAAAATTTTTCAGCATACCACAGAATGGGTATCACTTTAAAAATATACATTGCGCATAATTTAGCGTTTTGAATATCAATCAATTTGCATACTGAATAAATAAATATTTGTGTGGCGCTTAGACTACGCTGCTATTTTAGGCAAGGCAAGCCAGCAAGCAGGCAGTGGCTTCTTGCCAGAAACTTAAATTTGCTAAAATTGAATAAATTTGGTAAGAAATTTTTGGTTATCGGCAAGTGCCCCTACAGGGAAAGTTGGCAAGAAGTGTACATATGTAACTTAAGAATATGAAAGGCCCTTGTGATGGGCATGTATGTAGTATGTACATATGTGTGTAGGCCACAAGGCCTTCGCTTTGCATACCGCCTGTTGCAGTCTCACTAGCAACTTTCTGAATTCTATGCAGTTACGGTTTTTTTGCATTTTAGCGACGATGTGAGTGAGGTAGGGCCTTTCTATATTAAGGTAACGATATGTATGTATGTATGTATGCTTGTTTGCTTGCCAGTCAAAGAGGATGCTTGACGTTTCACAACTGTTGCAACAACTTCCGTTTCCTGTTGCCCTCCATTTACACGCACGTCATACACCGACACGCCCAAAGCTATACATTTCACTAGTCCTTGCTGCTCCCAAAGCGGCATGTAGGAAGTGTTTATTTACATAAAGCAATTTGGACAACTTTCTGCTGCGCACATTGCCGCTGCCACAGCCACAGCCATTGCCAATTTAGTGGCACAATACTACCCATAAGAGGTGCAGCCGCAAGCAGCGTAGGAGCTGCCAACTAATAGCACCGCGGAGATTTTTTTGCCGGTTTGTTGGTTTGTGTTGCCTTTGGTACCGGCGTTGCTTGGTTATGCGACTAGCAGTTCGGTTAATGGCAGTTATTAGTGTCAAAGGATGTAAACGCACAAGAAAATTTGCGCAAAACCCAGAAGAATGATAGAAAAAGCAATATGAAAGGAAAAGTAAACAAGAATTGTTGAACAGTGTCACGTCTTTCGGCTGTCTTACGTTGCGAAAGCGAGGGCAATTGTTGGATCGTGTTAACAAATATGCACGAAGAAACGAAAGCAAAATAAAAAAAATTAAAAGTAAGCTGTATTAACAACAACAACTGCAGTTAAATCGACAAGTCAAAATGGAATTTTTGCAGAAGACCCATGAAATTAAAAATAGTAGTATATGGATTTTATTTGCAGTTATTGCCTTATATTTGATGCAAAAAATTTAGTCTTGGCCCTTCCGAATATTGTTCCACGACCAAGTGCCAATTAACTGTGAACTTGTCTCCCATCTTTGAAAAATCGTCTGCCCCAGCCTCTGCTCAACACAGAACCACAATTACTATCATACTTAAAGATTACCATATTTTGGTGGAAATAATTTAATGATCCAATTTACTTTTTATTATTTCCTCACTGTTAAACTGCGACTACGGAAACGCAAATAGAAAGTTGTTGCATTACTGCACTTCCGGGTGGACAAACGAGCGCGGCAAAGGCGAGCGAAAACTTTGACATCAAGCGGAGGGTAGTACGAGGCGTACATAAAAGGCGCGAGGTGACAGAGCAAGACCAAGCAAGGGCAAAGGCAAGCAGGCAGAAGATGCGCAAATAAAACTTTTGCACTCAAAATGGGAAAAGGGAGTAGTAACTTTGTTGCTTATTAAAATCATATTTTCGTGTATGTATGTATATGTAGGTAAAAGTTTATTTGCGAAGTGCAATAAATGCATAATTTTACCGCTATGCAAATAGTGCAAAATTTTTCTTACAAAAACTGAGTGTTTGTATAAGGAAAATATGGAGATATTTTATAAGCAATGATGTTTACTGCAGGCATTTTCATTGCCAAGTTGCAACTCTTCCTTTTGTACTTCTGGATTTTTCTACTACTTCTACTACCAACAAAAAAGGAGAAAATATGCATTTACTCCTGCTGTGTAATAACGAAATCAACCTTCGCCAAAGTATTTACAGAGATTTGTAAAATAATTACCACTTCTTCAAAATACATTACGTAAAATTTGCTGGGATTGGGAGGATAAACATAGGACAAAATACAAATACATTTCGTCCTTTCATAAAATTTCCGCTAGAAATGTCAATTGTTATCCTATCACATCAGTTAACGAACTAGCCATCTTCTAGATCACGCTGTGGCTACAGTCAAACTATTTATAGAAATGGGCTCATTTAGCCTTTCTTATATTGTCCGTTGTGTTATCACCTAGTTGATTTTTCCTGGAATAGTAACTGAAGGTAATTCAAATGAAGCTGTTAGGAAAGGAGCTAGGTGCCCAAAATAAAGTTCCAGATGCTTTATGTTTAATAGGAAATGCTGGGCACTTTCTTCGCTACCTTCTAGTTTTATTATATGGGAGTCACATTCTCTCTGCATGTTTGACTATGGGCCAGTGGCCCGTTTTTTACAACAACAATTTTAAATATTTCTATCTTTGATCTATTAGGCAGGTCTTGTGTCTTCGTCCTGTTATAGTCAGGTCAGAGTTCCTTGGCTATTTTGGAAGTCATTATATCTGATCACCTTGGCCTTGCCAGTCTAAGAAACTAACTTCTCTTTGAACGAGTCCGTGGGGGCATCCCAGTGCAACGGCCGCGGATTTCTCCAAGGAGGCTTCTGCCTTCTAACGCCATCCGGCTCTGCGAGTTTGGAAGGTGAGAGGTTCCTTATAGCATACAAGATGTTTTACAAGCGAGTCCAACAACCTGCTGCTTGTTGAACCTGAAGCGGTTGGAACCGGATCGAAGCACGGGAAGTAAGATTTGACTAGTGTCTGCAAGGAATCTTTGACTGATTTTGTCGACACAACATTATCTTTGTCAACAGGGCAGCTGAGAGGCATTCAATTTCTGTTATCCTCTAACAGTTGCGGCACTGCACAGAAGACGTACTCTAGGCGCTCTACGAACCGAGTATGAGACCATCTGTCTAGGAGTAGTTCAAAGATTTACACAGAGACTCCTATGACCTCCCTGCCCGAAAAAATGAACTTAAGGATGATTTGCTTAGCGAATTCATCAGACATGCAGTTTCTTGCAATGCATCTGTGTTCTGGGAACCAAGTCAGCTTGATTTGAAAATAATCCGAGGCAATTGGGCGAGACCTTTGGCATTCTCCGACCAGTTCCGATCGAACCATGAGCGATATAAGAGCCCTGACCGTAGAATCCCTCATAGAACACAACTTCTCCAAATCTGATCTACAGTTTTGATCGATCCGTGAAGAATTTAATTGGACCTATTTATTCAAACCTCAGGGGAATATGTATAGAGAAGGAAACAGGTGGAGTCAGCCTCGGCACACTTTTGAACCGTATCTTCGGGTATGAAGCTTAATTTTCAATGACTGCCGAGTGCTCTTGCACTGGTTGGGAGTTTTAAGCAGAGCCTTTTAATTTACGTGGGCACATATTTTTTATTTTTTTTTCACTTTTATATTTTTATTTATTTTTTTTGTTTTTATGTATGTTACCGCATAACTTTGGACCACGTCAACAGATTTCGATAATTATTTTTGCATCGGAAAGGGAGTGTCTCAGAGGTGGTCCCATACTAAACTGGTTTAGATCCGATCATTGGACCATATTTTTATATGAGAATTGAAGTCGGTTTTGTTTTTTGCTTCAAAATTACTTGTTTATATTCCTGCTTTGTAAAGTCACTTTCTTTGTTGTGGCTGTTTTGTGTAATGTAATTATATCCTCGCTTTTCACTTATTTTCTATGTGTGTGGACAGGCACATTCAATTATGCCTGAGTATGAGTTTTCCACAGTCTGCTATTTAGCGATATTGATTATTTTTCCCTTATGAAGGCACTTCGTCCCAACAAGTTATAACAACACCGATACAATGCAGTTTAATTGGCAGTTTTTGAGGTGGAAAAGAAATTCGTTGAAAAGATAATTTCTGTTTGTAAGATAAAGGTTATCTCGAAAGAACATTTTTTCCAAAATTGTTTTAGACTTTGGCCAACTTTATTAAATTTTCTTTCCTAATAAAAGCATCGTTTATTAAATTTTCACTATAAAATATTTTCAACTATTTCTTTTCAGTCATTATCCTGTTCGAAGGTGACATGCATGAGCAGCGTTATGGCGCTTGGGACGGCGCCAGTAGAAGCGCGCAAACCCGATGTGGTATTGGAACATGCCAAGGATTTTTTGGACCAATATTTCACATCGATAAAGAGGTAGGCTACGGTAATACGAGTGTAAATTAATACTGAGTATTTAGGAAATTTTTTATAAGTCTTTCAAATCTATAAGCCTATAAGTAGTAGAAATTATGTTTGAGTTGCTGGTCAGCTTAAGATTAGACACATAGATAAATGCGCGGGTAAGTCAGAACACGAGACACTGCGACCTAGAAATTCTTTTGTATAACTAATGAATCCTAAAAGGGCCTTGGTAGTCGAATTCCTTATTTCTAACGTTTTGGTCAATGAAGCTTTAAAGCAAGTTTATGTTTGTTTAGTCAAGGCTGGAAATTCACAAAAAATTTGTTCGTAAGCTTCCTCGTCCTCAAGGCATTCCCACCCTCTGGCCCTGAAAGAATACTGACACGAATAGAAGTGTGGAACAACAAGGGATTTTGACAATGTGATGAACCCACAAGCTACAACAACAAAAACCAAATTCCCAAATCCCTTTTCGCTAAGACATTTCTTCAGATTTGAAAATAGGAAATGGTCAGAGGGACAGATTAGCAGGTTGTCAAATAAAAATAAAATAACACAGCTTGCTAAAAAAGGGCAGTGCTCTACTAACATATGGTAGTTGTTAGTTGATATTAGTTTAAGGTACTTGTATACACTACGATCAGACGAGAGAGAGATTGCCATGTGATATTTATTTCGAGCTCCGTCTACATTCATACTTTCATTTTTACAATATTTATAAATTTTTTCCATTCTATTAATTTTCAGGGCTTCAAGTGTGGCTCATGAAACGCGCTGGAAACAGGTGCGCCAGAGTATCGAATCCAATGGCTCTTATCAACTTACCGAAACAGAATTGATTTATGGCGCGAAATTGGCCTGGCGCAACTCATCGCGATGCATTGGCCGCATACAATGGTCTAAATTGCAGGTAAAAGCAAAAACTCATCAAAATTCATTTATATTATATGTCACTAAAATATTTAAAATCTTTACGAGCGTTTTTATTATGCGTTTACAAATTTTTGTTACGAGAGCATTTAGTGTCGGTGAATTAAACAAATTCATAATTAAATTATTTGATGAATGAAAACTGGTAGGCGATTCGTAGCAGATGGGCGAGGTGAAGTGTTTGACATGTTAACACGCACAGCTGACAAAACACAGACGTTGAATGTACACACAGATACGCAAGCATTTAAAATACGCGCCGTCGAGCAGCAGCCGTTTGCGGCCATTGATAACTGAATGAAAAATTTCATTAAAAAGTTTACTTTCTGTATGTGCAACTAGTTATTTCGCGCTTCTGAACCAGCGGCAGTGTACTCGAAATAAATGAGTTGTGTATAAATGCATAAATATTTAGACCACAGCTGCCAAAAGTTTAGAATATACCAACATTCGTCATTTATACATTAGGATGCACCTGAATCTATACAAAAAATATTAAAAATTATTTATTTTATTTTAAGATTTTCGCAAAAACATTTTACAGAGATATTAAGATTTACGTGATTTGAAGATCTCCAAAAATCTCATTATTTTGATTCCGTTGATAAAGTGTTCAATCATTTTTATGCAGACCTTATATGTTTCAACTCTCCAATTACCTCAAGCTATTTTTTGGGGAAAAAATTTTTAAACTAGTTTTATTTATAAAAAATTAAATTCTTGGAGATCTTTTCAATCGGTCGTAAATCTTAATATTTTTCCGAAATACTTTGGCTTCCGTCTTTAAATAAATAAATACATTTTATAATTCGGTGGAATAACCGCAACTTCTTTTTTGAGGAGGCACGCTAATATACATATTTATGTATGTTCGTATATATATATATTTGATTGTGGACTTTGATGCGAGCATATTTGATTTATGTATCTCCGTTTATGCTTTGTACACAGTACGTCAAGCTTTTGAATGTATGTCTGTTTGCTTTTGTAAACATAAACTATAAACTTGGGCAAAAAGTTTGGTCAACTTTGATCTTGATTCAAAGTCGAGAAAAATTCGTACAATAAATTGTTGTAGAAAAAATGCAACAAATATATGTTTGTAAAATTATATTAAACGCATGGAATTGAAAACAGAAACCAAACATGAAACGAAATGCAAAAGTTTAAATTGACTTAAATATTCAAAGATGTCTCGCTCCGGAAGCACACTCTGCAAGAAAATGCTCTAAAGCTCCCTTTTATGTATGCATGTAAATACATATGTATGTATGTGTGTAATTCGGATTTTTGGAGAAAGGGATAATATCTATGTCAAAAAAATTAAATGTAGAAGGTATCACAGCCAAGATAGCAAGAAAAGAAAAACTCGGTCCGTACAACATTTTTTCTCTGTGGGTTTCAATTGGAAACAATCGCATAATAGCTGAGAGATATAATCCTTCTTTCGTTTCACACTCATGTGTCCCATAGCGAGCAAGATGTTAAGACATCCTCGACTTTTCGGAATACAAGCTTTAAAAAGCTTATGGTTTGGTATGATGAAGAGCGGGTTAGGGCCACAAATCCTCTAGCAGCGCGTTCAGCGGTTGGAGGGGATTCAGCTCTTTTGGCATTGTTCCAGCGTGTGCGTGTCTGCTTTAGTCTCCAGTTTTAGTATTTTCTGCTTTTAGTGTCCTTTCCTAAATCAAATCAGTGTACTAGGGCCCGTCAAATTTTCTTAAGCACCCTTCATACCCTGGCATTAAAATTAATGTTCCCCAGAACATTAAGGGATTTGTGGTATTAAAGGAGAGCAATCTTTGAAGGGAACTATTTACATATCGCCTTTAGAATATATTGACATTCGTAACTTGTCTAAATTGTTATTTCTCGCACCGCTTCAAAGATTGCATTGAGCTCGCCGTTGAACACTATGGCATCTTTGCCTAGAGGGAGGAGTGGGTTAGGGTCGTTTACATGCAAGTCCGTGTACCTGGTTTATTTTCCGCATTGCTGTTTTGCTATCTTGTTATAAGGATTTTTTTTTGTCTTTTATGTAGCCGTGGTTTTATGTATGAAGAACCCAAGATATTGGACTTCATCTTTTAAGGGAATCTCAGTGCCATTTATTGTAATTGAAGGAAACTTTACGTTGTGCGGAAATATAACGCTCTTGTTTGGATTAAACGACAGCTGTTCTTGCCTGAGCCAGTTTAAAAGTGATCATAGGGCATCCTGCATCAAGTCCCTAAAGGCCCTTTCGTGTTTAACTTTGATAATTACGGATATCTCAACCATAAAGCCTCTTGCATTGAAAGTCTGAAAGACTCTTTATAACAACGCATGACGAGCTCTACATAGCCTAGTTCTGCTATGATCCGCATTTGGCTCAACATATTGTGGGCTTGTGCCCTGGTTTGAAAGCACTAGTTCTAGTGTCTTTAAGTGCGTAGTCCTCAACATTGTGCAAAACTCGCGAAAATTCAGCAAATTTTCATTCAAAATTTCAACGTTTTAATCAAATTTTTCAGATTTTTTTTGAGTATGCAGTTTTGCAGCCCATTAAATTCTAGTTCAGAGCTAGTCGAAAATCGCATTGATTATTGAGGTTTTTTTTTGTTGAAGATGTTTTGCATTTTTTTATATATGTAAAGTACTTTCGAAGAAAAATTTTTGTATGTAACTGACTGCGCGAAAAAAATATCAAAAATCAGCGGTAATTCCTAGCTACTTAAAACTTGTACTTTATTATAATAGAATTGATTGGGCGAAAGTTTAAAATTTGCACGAAAATTTGCTGAATTTGCGCAAGTTTTGCACAAAGTTTAAGAATTATATTTTTATGCGTTTTGTTGTGGAATGAACCATATTTTTATACAAAATTGGCGGAGAAATATTATAATAACAATTGTTGCATATATTGTGAAATATTTGCTGTGCCAATACTTTGTTTCGGCAGTGTATGTATGTATGTCAAAATGCTAACGTCCGTAGCATTGATTTCATAATAGATTTTTAAGCAAGACAACTGAAAGCAAAACCCACATTCGACATTCGTCTGGCCGGTTAAGCATTTTCCTTTTCCTTTATCATTCTGTTCTTATATTTTCCTCTTTTCCTCCATTACTCCCCATTACACACTACCTAGGCGCGACCATCGTTTCGTATTTCTGTGTACATTGACACCTTTTTCAATTATTCCACTCGGCTGAATCAACACACAGTCTCAATTTCAAGTGAATTTCATGGCTATTTCCGATTCATATTTAACAGGCAGTTGATGAAAAGTTGAAAAAAAAACTGTTATTAAAATGTCGGTATCTATTGGAATATATTTACACTGAGAGAAAAAATTTAGAATAAAAAAAAGTACCAGATATAAAAAACGACGTATATGAAAGACCACCAAACCAACTCGTAACAAACTTTTGTATTTAGTATCGAAATATTCAATTCAAATACGTCCATATTAAAATTAGCCGTTTTGCAACTCACGGATTCTTTTTCATGATTAAGATACCAAAAAAAGATTTATTTCTATGCTGTCTGCTATGGGATTAGAACTCTGATCCTCTAGAAATTGGCAAATGTCGCAAGCATCTTTGCGCACACAGCTACAGGCAGACATGTAAATGCGTTTTCAAATAATGAGTTTGAGTATTATTTTTAAATACGAATATTTTAAAACGATAATCAAATAAAAAATATTCACTTTTACTATGCATTATTATTACTATGCAGTGAATTCATAACATTTTTCTTAATATTGCAACGCGTTTTTTTCACTCAGTGTATGTACATATGTTGTTAGGGCTGTTTCTCATCTCTGTGTGTATGTATTGTTGACAGTTTTTTGCACTGCATAAAAAAAAACAAAAATGGCCACCGTCTCCAAAGGGTTAAATTCAGACACAACAATGTTTTGAGTTTCAAGTGGCCACTCTATTACTTCTTGGCCATACGAATTTTACACCTACTTCTACTTTTTCCTAACTGTACAACTTTTAATGCCTCAAGTGGTGAAAGTTTTCGCCCACTTTCTCGCCGAGATAGCACATATAAATTCATATGTACATACATATTTCTTTTTTTCATACCTGCCTTAAGCGGTTTGTGATTAGACTCTTATTTACTTGAGTACATTCACTTGCGCTTGAAGTGATTTCCTTAATTAAGTTCACACTTGAGCTAAATTTAAAGTGTGTCCTTGCTGATGGTGTTTAGAGCAACATTTACTACTGTGTTTTGTTTTTATTCGAGTGGTCTGTGCTTCATCCCGCTTCACTTATACTCGTTCTTATACTCTAAAGTGTGGTCACTCGAAAATCATGGGGTGAAATTGAAATTTCACTCTCATAAATAGGCAAGCATGTCTGCATGAGTACCTTACCAATAAACACACAAACGGGTTCATAAATAATTTAGTGACGAGAAATAGTCTCAATATTTTTATTGCATGCAACCATTTTAATACCAATATTTTCAGAATTTTTTTTTAATGGATATTAGCATTATTACTTTATACATTCATAAAATTTGGGCTTTCCTGAATATGTGTAAAATGCAAATGTAAACTGCTTTTTATCAAATTAATTTTGCTTAAAATTTTGTATATGTATATACATACATACATTCATTTCCGACCACTTGTTGCTCGAATTATAGCAGATTGTACGACCGCAAAATTAAAATTTTATTCAAATATGCAAAGAGATGCATATGCATATGCATATTTAGGGTGGTCCAAAAATACACGTGAAAAAGTAAGGTCGGAATCTGTATGCTCTCACCCCCTAGGATTGTTCTATACCGAAAAAATATACCCATATTTCTTATTTTTATTTTAAAATAAAAAAATATTCAGAGGTCGCTCAAAGCGCCCAAATTTTCCATGGGGAAAACACAACTTTTCGTAGAAATGGTATAGAATTCTTAAAAATCTATATTTTTCTATCGGATAGCTCGGTTTCTCTGTAACAGATTCCCAATACTAATAGACTTTCAATAATAATACTCAATTGTTTATTTAACCATTTTTTTTATCGAAACTATAATTTATAGGTCCGCCAAAAACCCACAAACACCTTGAAAAATTCAATGGGGGGACCAATTAAAAATCGTTAGTACAAAAAATGGTTAGATAAACAATTGGGTATTATTATTGAAAGTCTCCTGAAGATAACCAGAGTTTTGCGATCAAAAAAATAAATGACACAACTATACAAATTCTAGCAATATAAACAAAAGTTTTGGTGGTATGTTAAATTTGCTCCTTTTGTAATTGAAAGTTTTCTAATGAAAAATATTCCGACGAATTGATAACCTTCTACTTTTTGTGAAGTCGATTAAAAATATTTTTATTCAACGGAGTTGTAGTAGGCAGAAAAGCCCACTTTCACTCACTAAGCCATACATGCGTGATAAATAATATAATAGGGCTATTCGCGATTCGGTGCATAAGAGCTGACAAATTTATGCAATTGCAGAAATATGCCATGGATTGTGAGTGACCTTTATTAAACTGTCATGGTAAAGCCTTTGCAAAACAATTTTTGTGCATCAGCTTTGGTTTTCTTTATGAATGCAATGCATAGCATTTTTATGCTATGGATTTTCGGTATTGCAAATTTGCCAAGCCATGACAAATGCAAATGCGTGTATTTTGTTTGTGTATTGCAAATAATTTGCAATACAAATTTGCAATGCAATGATGCTAGGCCATTTGCACCGGATCGCGAATAGCCCTAATGTATTTCTTATGAGTTCTCGATTATAATACTGCTAACTATGTAATCAGCATTCTAATGTATTCAAAAAGTTCAAACAATTTTATATTCAAACACATTAATTTCTCGATACTAGGTAATGCAAAATTGAAAGCCCCACTTTTCTTAGGACATCGCCCTGGGGAAAAAATGCCTTATCGAATGTGAAAAATGTTGTTTTACGGATTATTTTTTCGATTACTATACATAACAAGGGTTGCCTGTGATTTACCTTATTCCTGCGATTTGTTATCGATATTAACCGATTTTGTTATCGATATTAACCGATTTTGTTATCGATATTCATCGATTTTGTTATCGATAATTATCGATTTTGTTATCGATATTTATCGACTTTGTTAGCGATATATTTATCAATTTTGTTATCGATATTTATCGATTTTGTTATCGATATATATCGATTTTTTTCGATATTTATCGATTTTTTTCGATATTTATCGATTTTGTTATCGATATTTATAGATTTTGTTATCGATATTTATCGATTTTGTTATCGATATTTATCGATTTTGTTATCGATATTTATCGAATTTGTTATCGATATTTATCGATTTTGTTATCGATATTTAGAGTGGTAGAGGTAGGGATCTACATTGATAGATAAAAAGCGAAAAAATATGACCTTAAGCAAAAGCAGATGTGTGTATGTATAGATAGATAAGTAACGTAAGTTTCACTTCTACAGTGTGGCCCAGGCGCACTTGCTTTTTTTAAGGAGAATGAAACTGTACAAAGTTAATTTTTGTGATGAATTTTGAAATTCACAGCACAGCAGTCAATCGGTAAGGTGCAGACGCAAAAAAAGCATGCCGTGTGAATGTCAAATAAATTGTCGACAGGTGGTAAAGGAAAACATCAAAAGCAACGTAGAAATTTAAATGAATTCACAGCATCATCTTGCAGTAATAATAATAATAATAATAATAATAATAATAATAACGTTAGTACGTAAGGTGGCGTCGATTTGCAAAGCAAGTCGCGTTTGTTGTAAGTCAATTAAATGTGGCCGTAGCAGGCAGCATACATACATATACATATATGCACAACAGGGTGGTCTAAAAAAAAGTTAGGTAGGAATTTTAATGCCTTCACCCCAAAAATCACATTAAGGGGGCTCATAAACAATCTTTAGTATTAATAAATCGTGAAATAAATAGTTGGGTTTTATTACTGGAAATCTCTTGAAGAGAAATATATTGAAATACTATTTTTCTTATATAAAATACATAAATAACTTTGAATACTTTGAGCGATCTCTAAATATTTTTTGATTTCGACATAAAAAAAAAACAGTGGTACATATATTTTTTTTATTAGGGGTGAGAGTGCTAAAATTCCGAGTTTTTTCACAGCATTTTGGAACCACCCAAATGGACATACTTTGATACATGCAGATCTCTTCCGCATAAGCAAGAGTGTAAGTGTGTATGAATAATTTCGGTATGAAATAAAAGATTTGGCACGAATTACACGGAAAATTCACACCTATGTACAATTACACCCAAATGTCAATGTATGCAGAGTTGCAAATGTAAAAAAAAATATACGGCGACATGAAAACAGGAGTTGGAGGGACAAATATGAAAAATATATAAAAAAAACAGCGCAAGAGAGTGGGCCTAAAATTATCACTCGAAGTGCTGGAACGGTAGTTACTGTTTTCAAATGCTGAAACAGCGAGAAACGAATAAATCTGTATATTTTTACGAATAAAATTTTATTTGAATTTCAAATACATTGCGCTGTATCCGAGGCCGCAATGAGTTTTTGCTGTCTGAACTATATAGTATGTACATACATTTACGAAGGAGAGACGAAAATTGAATTTATTTTGTATCTACATACATACATACGCACATATACGCACCTTACAAGCAAACAAAAAAGTCCGCTGTATATCCCTGAGTCTATAGACTTCTTGTAAGCGATTTGGAAAAACATTTTTTTTCCGAACCTAGGGGTCGCCTTTTTAAATTTTCCGGTTACACCTAGGATTACATGTGGCAATAAATATTTTTTTTTTAATAGTTATGCTGGAATAATCAAAATATTTCTTAAGCAAAAGAATAGTGATTTTTGGTTAGCGTTTATTTACTGGAATTAGGGGTGACACGTCAGGCTGATCAGAACTGACCACGAGACGAAACCATCCTTTATATCATACTTTAATAGCCGACTGCCAATGCCAAAGATATGACGAAGGGCGACCCCAAATGGGGAAAAATTTATTGAATAAACATAAAAATTCATATACAATCGTACACAGGTTTTTTTTGTAGCTGAATCCCGAAATGGGGATCCCTTGATTCTTCAAGGTCATCTAGAAAGAATTGTACGGCATTTTCAAGTTTATTCAATGAATTTATCCCTACTTGACATTCGAGACTAAAAGACCTCGGATTCGCAATCAGCGCGTCTAAAAACAGAGGGAAACTTTTTGTTTTGTAAACATGTTGATAATAAAAAAAAAAAAAAAATAAAAATAAAAATAATTTATACGATCGTACGACTTGAAATTGTTGATCGAAATGAAATATAAATTATTTTAAAATCCAGTTTTTATTTTAAACCCCGCTATACATGAAAATACGCAAGCCCACACATTTACAGTTACTCACAGAAGTATTCGTAAAATTTTTCCTTTAATTTTCATTTAAAATATAGCTCGTTCCACAACCTCAAACATTTAAATCAATGTTGCAATATTTCTACGAAATTCGCAAAAATTCAGCGAATTTAAAAAAATGCCCATCGAAATTTCAAGTATTTTAAAATAGATTTTCTTCATGCCTTATATTGAAAAAATGTACTAAACTGTACTGAAATTAAACGTGCTATAAAACTGCGTACTCCAAATTCTGAAAAATTCGTTTAAAAAGTTTAAAATTTTGATGGGCATTTTTTGAAATTCGTTGAATTTTTGCGAATTTTGCAGAAAGACTGCATTGTTGTTTGGTTTATATGGTTTTGGTTTATACTTCTGTAACTAACTGTACATACATATGTACTTTGGCTTCAAGCTATATGCTGGCATAATAAAAATGTGGCAACAACAACTGGTAAAACAAATGTGCATTGCCTTGGCAGCCTTGAAAGTGGCTGAATGAAGGTAGTTACCAAAGCAGGGAAGAGCTTTGAACTAAGGCAAGGAAGAGCTACTGATGCAGCCGTACACATGTGTACATACGAAAAATAAGAATTTTTGCCCAAAAGCGTAAGACAAAAGTTACTACGAGTAGGAGGTGTGTAGGCTAAATTCGCCACTACACTCTGGGTGTTGGGAAAATTGAATTATGGCACAATGAAAAAGGATAAAAATAGTTGACCTTCAAGCGTGGCGCTGGCAAAATAGAAACAAATGCAAAATAGAATGAGTAAAGTAATATAAACTAGCAAAAAAAATAAAAATATGATAAATTGAGGCAACAAAATAAAACTATAAATAAGTACTACAATCTTTATATTTATCTGTGTATGTATGTATTTGTTCTGAGTTGACATCGAATAACCCTAATAAGGGGTGAATTGCATTACTATTTTCGGGCGGCAATCAAATTAAATATATGTATGTATTTCAACATTCTAATTCCATTTTCTGAACTTTATATGAACTAGCCAATATTCTTGATTACATTGCAACAATTGTCCAAACAACTTTCTACTCACATCCCTCTGGGACTTTAATCTAACTTTCTCTCTCGGCACATACATCTTTTTAACATATTTTCCGATGTTTACATATATATTTTCTTCTACTTTAAGGTATTCGATTGCCGTTATGTCACCACAACGAGCGGCATGTTCGAAGCCATTTGCAATCACATTAAATATGCAACTAACAAAGGAAATCTCAGGTGAGCCAACCAAACAAATAAATAAATATTAGTATTATCCGTTATTATTGTTTTGTTCGATTTTACTTGGTTTGCTCTCTTTGGTTGCACAATAGACTGTCTACACAATGCTTATGGAATTTAAAGCTTATACGACTAGACAGCTTTTGTTATCTTTCAAAGGCTTCATCGGAATTTGCTTTGGTTTTCGGTGGATTACGTTGAGCGTCGATTATGATTTTTGCATTTTTATGGCTTTGATTTTAAGTTTTGGCAGGCGAAATTTTGTTTTTGGTTGGTACTTAGTTAGAATTAAAATATGTGAGTTAAGTTTTTGAGCTCCTCTGGGCATTTGAATAAACACAAATGTACAACAGTGTGTGTAATACAAATAGTATTCACGGGAAGCAAAAGAACATACGAACCGCAAGTGTACGAAATGCAAGTGTAGAGTTAGACAGATACTTGAAGTTAGATATGTAGATATATGAAAGATGTAAGCACCGCGGCCTATAAAGTCTAGAGTTAGGAACCATTGTTTTTCGAATAGTAAGAGGCGTTAGATTTAGCTGTTCTTACAGGGTGTGGAGAAAAATAGTTAGATTCCTGTCTTTTACTCATTCAACAGCGGCCAAAATGACCTTGAGATCTCGTAATCCACACGCCATTTATTTATTCATTCAACCTTTGTTGAAGTACATTCACCAAACGGTGGTTGTGTGGAGTTGTCTGCCTCGTTTATTGACATTTCATAGCGAGACCTGTCTATCTCATCAGCTGGTTTGCTTCGTTCTATTTTGCCGATTTCATCTACCCAGAAAATAGCCACGCTGAGTTTTTCCAATGATGACAATGCAGCCCGGCCCCTCCGTGTAATCGCCGATGCCGCATTTTTGATCTTATTTTTCAAAAACCCACAAGTCGATCGAGTATAAAGCGGTCTTGCTCCTTGCTTTATAAATTTGAACCATCAGTGTAGATGAATATGCCATTCTGTCAGAAACTGAATGGTAGGCTGGTCCGTAAAATATTTATCTACATCATGGGACAACCCCTTTATTTTGTTCTAAGGGCGTGTGTGAATCGGTAACAACGTTCTCTGGGGAAAGCTGGCGAATAATATTTTTACACTGGTGAGACAGTTTCGCAATCTGTTGTGTGAAACGAAATCTTTTTTGACAGCAGTAAATTTTTGACAACCGCAGCATAAAATATTATAAATTGAAGTGAAATAAATATTTTCAGAAAACATCTACCATCGTTGATTGCAATTCATCAATTTAAGCTTTTAATCAATTTAATTTTAATCATTTAAAGTTTCTGAAACATTAAAGAATATTATTTACAAGAAACATTTCAAATAGTATAATACTTCTTAATTTTGCCACCAGAAACTCAATTTCCTAATATTTTATTGTTTTTCAAAATTCAATATTCAATATATTGTTTAAATCAAGGCAAATTTATATAAGGTGGTGTTACTAGCTCAGCTGATTTTGTGTATGTGTTTCGCCGCACGGCTTCTGATATCAAATTGAAAAATTTTGTTTGATTTTCTACACACACTCTTACAGATTTTGACAGTTTATGCCGCCAAAGCAAAAACAAAATACATGTAAATTTTTGTTTTTGTACTCTTGCTATCACCTTCGCCTTGGTTTAAATTGTAAATTGTAAATTTTCTCGCGGCGAACTTTGTTACCGATTCACACACGCTCTAAAAACAAAATAAAGCCATCCACAAAAATTAAACAGTTAGAAGAAGCTGTGTATACATCACTTTTCGATAGGCCTGATAGTTTCTATGAAATTAATTATTAACTCCAGATTTTTTGTGTTTTTTTTATGAAAACATTAAAAAGTTCAAGCTTTAACAGGGAAAAATAAAAGAATAACGACTGTTTTTTTTATTTCTTTGTTAATCAATTTCTAAAAAACTATTAGATCTATCGAAAAGTGATGTATATACAGCTTATGACGAATTTCATTGGCTTTGATTTGTCGTACTTCGTATTACGATTGTTCAATTGTTTCGTAATATATGCGACATTAAGTGTAATCACTTTTTTATGCTGAAAAATGTATCCATACAAAAAAAAAAAATTAAATCGATTTTCGGATAGTGGATAGTGGCGTCCAGAGAACATTTTTGCTGTAAACCATTTTATTCAGTGAAAAAATTATTAAAAATTATGTCCTGCTATTGATAGAGTTTCTTGTTAGAGAGTGTTTGGAGATACATTCGTGGTTTTGCCAAATTACCGTCAATATGGCATGCAAAATAATATGATTAAATACATTTTTTTCAATGTTGATAGTTTTGTTACCCAAATACTTCTATGTGCGTCTGGTAATGAAAAAATTTAATTTTTTTAAAACTTTTGATTCCCAAGTCTATGCATTTCTATGAATTAATTAAAAAAAAACATGTAAAATTTATTAGATTTCAAACCAAAATTTCTACGATTTTTTTTAACTTCAATTTTTTTAAACCCACAAAAATTTGTTTATAATTTTGAAATTTTCGTGGTAGTCCTTATTATGTAAGTATGTACAACAAAATATGGGGGTGTTCCACAAAAAATTAAGATGGTTATATATTTTAAGATCCACCCTACTGTATAGTGGTCCTTGTTCCGAAATTAACATAATAACACTTTTAATTTTGATTTTCCGTCTTTTTTTGGTTTGGTTCCAACATTTTGGCTATCCTAAGTCAGAGGGCGAAAATTTATAGCGGTTTCAGGGAAATATTAAGTTCAGCTACTCCTGCGAGCCGCGGAAATACCCAGGCTTGCGTGTCTATGGACTTTCCCCATGGGTTAGAATCCGATTAACGATATCTGAATATTTGAATATGCAAATAGGATCAGCCCTATTGATTAGTCCTTCAAGTGCCCTAAGGATAAAGGTGGAAAGACCAATCTGCCTGAACTGCTTTGCCTGTGATCGATTTAGATTCCTTATCTTTCTCGAAGTTTTTGGTACATACCCATATGATAAATGTATTACAAAGATGCCTCATACCAGGCCAAGACAAGAGTGCTGAAAGATGGCAGGCTTCTTTGAATAGATCTCGGCACACGTGGCCAATCGGCACACGAGGAATACTATAAATTTGGTTAGTGCTACCTCGAAAGTGGCTAGAGACCGATCAAAACCGCTGGGCCTAAAAATTCTACACAAATACACTTCGCATGCAGTTAGTATCTGGTGTAACTTTGAATAACATTATATCCATATCATAAAATCAAGTGGTCTATCGTCCCATCACCCGCAAGGGAAACTCCTTTAAAAAGATATTAATTTATTTCACTCTTATTATTCAAATATTATCATTCACATCTTCGTAAAATCTCTACCATATGTTTATGGGCCAAGCTCCGCGCACAATCACCCCACAACATCGAAACATGGCCCCACTGCTTATCGGGAAACATGTGATCCTTGAACACATTCGGCAGCTCAGCGATTAAAGTGCGCACATCTGCTATGGCACTTAGTGGATCATTTTGAGCGTAATAAAGAGCTATAGGCGCAGTTATCTTCTCTAAGGCATACAGAGGTGGCTCTGCACTGCCATAGCGCTCAATATTGCGCTCCTTACCATAGTCATATTGATAAAAATTCATCGAGTCTTTGAGTTGAAAATAATGCCTCAATTGTTTAATGCTAGCACCGCTAGAGGAATGTGCCGCAATAGCCGGCAAACGGGCCTGATGAAGAGTAAGAAGAGAATTAGCTCAAGTTGAAATCATTCAAAAATGTCACTCTAAAGCTTACTGGATTCCACATTCCATCGTGTCCGCCCAAGTAGTCGTACATGAATTTAACAAACCAGCTCTCAGTAGTCTTCGTACTGAAAAGAAATTTCCATGAGTTGTTGCGTGGTAGGATCTCAAAGGCCGAATCTTCGCGGAGAAAAGCTAAAGAGCGTATAAAAGCTTCCATCGGCGTTTTCATTTGTGACATATAGGCGACTGGCGCTAGAGCGCTCATAAGACATACCTTCGAGTTGTACTCTGGCCGCATGGAGGCCATACATAACAAAGAAAACCGTGGTGCCCTAGGCAGTTAGAGTTGTTAGCGAAAACATTTCTAAGCAAACAAAATGATCGATTAAGATAATTTACGCGGAATTACTCACCTGTGAATGGCCGAAGTAAGCTAACTGCCTGTGTGCCGTCTTCTCCAGCACATAGTCTATCATGGCGGGCAAATCATTACAGCCTATTTCATGCCAAGAGAAGTCCCAAAAGGCAGATTTTGTGGGACACCTTTCAAGATGATTGCGTGAGTAAAAATTGCCGCGCGCATTTCCCAGCCAAACATCATAGCCCTGATCGTGAAGGTAGTAGCCTGGTGTAAAGAGAAATGTTGTTGGTAAATTTCAAAGTAACTTTGCACTTCAAATTGCAAAACTAGTCCTGCCTTTGGTCCCTGTATAATCCAAGTATCCGAACTATCCAATAGGCCATGCATAAGGAACACTGGTTTGCCATGTGGTTGCGCCAATCGATGCAGTTGCAGGACATACCCGTCTGAGGTGTGAACTGTATGCTCCTCCACAGGATAATTGTATTTTCGCGCCATGCCTGTCTGGAAAAGGGAAGAATGAGGGGAATTTATATCAGCTTGATCTTCAGATCTTTTAATCGCTACTTACAAAGTCCAAAGTAGCATCTTCAATAACACTTTTGGAAAAATTTTTCTTCAGATAAGTGCTTGCATTTCTACAAATTGTATTTTTGAGTTGTAAAGTTTTCTCTGGAAGCCGAAAACATCTAACGGTTTGTACATGCTTTCTTTCGAATGCTCTGCTACTAAATTGTTTTGAAAAATTTCGCGCTTGCTTTTGGCGGTAAAGGCTAGTGAGCACACAATTTCGTTCAGCTTGTAGTTGTACCGTTATTGCTGTCAGCATTTTATCTCTGCCGATAAGAAATATGAAGATAAATGAATTGAAACAAGGCGAATCTAAAGCTGTCAGGGCGTGTTTGTCATACCCTAGAACAGTCATG